CCAGGTGTTCTCCAGGTGTTCTCCAGGTGCTCTCCAGGTGTTCTCCACGTGCTCTCCAGGTGTTCTCCAGGTGTTCTCCAGGTGTTCTCCAGGTGCTCTCCAGGTGTTCTCCAGGTGTTCTCCTGCCTGTAGCTGGTGTGATGCATCCAACCACCGCTGCATCGTCTACAAACTTTACGATGTGACAGCCTGGATGGACAGGAACACTTTTTGCACCCATTTAAACTTTTGAGCCTATTTTAGCAAAATCGTGCTCTCTCCAATCCCTTCTTGTAATTTAAGCTTCTTTCTGCCTTTTTAGCTACTTTTGAGCTATTTTTTTTTGTGTGTGTGCTAATTTCAGCTTTTTAAAGATATTTTCCACTTTTTGGTGTTAATTGTTTTCCTTTCAGCCTAATTGGGCAGACGTGTGTTCTTTCTGCTTTATTCTGCTAATTTAAGCTTGTTCTACATTTTCAGCTACTTTTAGCTTTTTTAAAAGCCATTTCAGCTGTTTTCAGATAAATTCGTTTTTAATTGTAATTTTTGCTAATTTCAACCTAATTAACTTCTTTAAGCTAATTTCACTTATTCAGCTACTATTTAGCTGTTTTATGCTTTTTTTTTAACCTTTTCATCTAATTCCACATTTTTGAGCTCATTGAAGCTCTTTCCACTTCCTTCTGGTAATTTAAGCTTCTTTCTACATTTTCAGCTACTTTTTAGCTTTTATTTTTCAACTTATTTTTTTTTAGCTAATTTCATAATTTATGTGCTAATTTCTGCTTATTTAAACCTAATTCAGCAAATATGCGTTTTTCTGATTTAGTTAGTTAATTTAGGGTTATTCTTCCGTATATCAGTTAAAACTCATAATTTTTTTTTTTAGCTAATTTCAGCAGTTTTCAGCAAGTTCTTCAGCAACAAGCATTCACACTGTATTTTCGCAGGAAATGCAGTCTCTCTAGTTATTATAATTTATATCATTCGAACGTATTTCTTCAGGTGTTTTTTTACTCTGAAGGTCAAAGATTTACTGTAATAAATTAATAAATTAAATCGTTCATCTTCGGAATTTTCCGGCCCGGTTCGGCTCTTCTGGGCTTGTTTTTCTTGTGAAACCGCTCTGAGTGATGTCGACGAGCCAACGTGAGAAACTCCAGAGCGTGTGACGTCACCAACCATGTGATCCTGCAGAGACGTAACTTTAAGAAAGAGGGCTCACGTGTTTCCATTTCCAATAAATCGTGTAAAATTATTATTTTTTAAAACGTATTTAACCTCAGTATCCTGATGCATGCTCAATAATCCAGGTAGAAAAATCTAAAAAAGTTAAATCTGGTCCTCTGGACATTCAACAAACAAAACGAAGCAAAATAAAAAAAATGTAGAAACATTTCATCTTTTATCTGAAGGACTTCCTCAGTCTGAGGTGCTGTATTCAGCTCAGTCTCTTAAATAGCACCTTCTCAGGGTGGATCAACCAGTTTTGCTGCTGACAACCAGAACCAGCTGATCACATGCTCAAGAAGGACCATCAGCCTAACAATGGATCATTAGCACCTGATGGCTGTTTACTGTTCACAGAGGGCTGAGTGATACTAGCAATCACAGCTCTGGCCTGGAGATGAGTGTAGACCGCAGAGTCCTGGCCTGATGATGTTGATCTTCTGTGCCGGTCCATCCTTTTGGCCAGTGGCTGTTTAGTTTCCTCGATGTAAGACTGTCCAGAGGACCAGATTTAACTTTTTTAGATTTTAACCTCAGTATTTTTTCAAAGTACCTCATTACTTTTATTTGTGTCTACTGTTATAAAAAAAGTACTTAATTCCGACAATACTGATGATTTATGTTTGAAGTAGCCTATGTTTTGTTTTAAAATATGTATCACATTTCAAATATTTTTGTCATTTTATTGCATATTTTGTGAAATTTGGAGACAAATTTTACTTTTCTGTTTTATTCTTGTTGTTTCTGTTTTATCTTAGTTAAAATTCTAAAATACGTTAAATGTATCTTATAACACATGAACACATTTGCTTATTTTCATTTTTTTATGACGTAAAATTTTAGTTTTTATTTGTTTTTGTTTGTTAAATGGACTTGCGTGTTTGGTATGAACCTTTTATTTATTTATTTATAGTTCCGTATGCAACATGATAAACAAATAAAAAAACACATGAAAGCGACACTGAATAAATATCTCTTATTTTAAGTGTAATATTTGTCAGTTTTTAGGTCTTGAGCTGCCTCTGATTTCTGTTTTTATCAGAAAATCTGCCTCATTTTTAAAGAAAACTACTAAACTTAAATAAACATTTTCCACATTCAACATTTTAATATAAACGTGCACACAATAAAACTTCACCAGTAAACAGAGACATTTACAAAAAACTGACATGTTTCAAATGTCGCACAAAAAAATTGGAATATTTGAGTTTGGAAAACTCTAGAGTTCTATAAAGGTGAGTGTGTAGGTATGATTCCATATTTTATTTACTTTTTATTATTAATTTGAGCAGACTCTGGGTGCATTAAAAAGTTATTCTGATTTAAATCTTGAACCCAACAGATTTAAATGCAGAACCCAAACCATGCCCAAACCTCCACCATGCCTCACAGATGGACCTTCCTTCTGACCTCTTTTTTTTTACACATTAACGACAATTTAAACCACAGATTATAAATGTGCAATCGTCCGTTTTTTATGTATTTGACCTGAAAGTTTCGGACTAACTTATGAAAGTTTGAAGCTCGTGTCAGCTGTTCTGCCCCGTGTGAGTCCTCTTCTCATTAATAGACGATCTTTGGTTGAACTAGCCGGCTAGCTGCTAACTCACAGAGACGCCATTAGTTGTTGGAAAGATTTAGGTAGAAACAGGAACTGGTTCCGTCCGCGGAGCCGTGTTTCCCCCCAGCTGCTGACGGGTTCTGGTTGAAGTTCGGGTCCTGTGTGCTGCTGAAGTGTTCTTATGGTTTTTAGCTCCTTTTTAAAGTCGGAAGCCAGCGGACTCAGTTCCGCCGTCGGGGTTAGCATTAGCAGCGGTAGCTCGGAGACGCCTCTTTTTTTGTTTGTTTTGTTTTTATCTAAATTCGGGATTTGGTGAATAAAAAGGTGTAACCATGGCAACAGCGGGCGCGGCCGGCGGCGCTAAAACCTTCTCCTTTAAGGTGGTGTTACTCGGGGAAGGCTGCGTGGGGAAGACGTCCCTGGTTCTGCGGTACTGCGAGAACAAATTCAACGACAAACACATCACGACCCTGCAGGTAAGAAGCAGCCGAACCGAACCGGGCTGTTTGTTTGTTTGTTTGTTTTTGGCTGTCACCGGCGGGAGGACGATGGTTTTAGTGCCCGGGCCGTCCCGAAGGAGCGGGGTCGTGGCTGTAGCTGTCCCCGTCTTCCTGACCGGGACGTTCCAGCAGGTGTTTGTGCGGGATCTTCTCCGGTTCGGACACCGAACCGAGACCCAGAGGACCCGCCTACGGAGGAGAGAGGTCCGGCCTGAACTGGGTCACATAAACAAACGCACCCCCCCACCCGGTCAGGTGGAAAGGCCCCTCAGGATTTGAATCTTATTTACATTTTTACTTCAAACTAGATGAATGTAAATATTTTGGCACTTCCCTCTCAGATCAGTTGTCACCACAGGTCCAGAAACGGAACTGTACATCTGGAGTGGTAGTAGCTGAGAGTCATCCCATCGACCACCCAAAACACAGTAAATGATGTTTCATCTGAAAACTGATTTCCAAATTCGTCTTCAAGTCAAACGGTGTCCTCGTCCATCAGGTGGACACAGCAGCTGCATGTCTTTGATGTCCCAGGTGTATCCAGAACACCTGATCCGGTCCTGTCTCTTTGGGTTTCCTCCCAGACTTTCTGAAGTTCTCCTCAGTTTCAGTTCTTGGACCTGAACAGCTTCTGGCACATGTGTTGACCTTTGACCTCAGGGTAGTCACAGAGTCGCCGTGGGCGTCTCGCACCAGCTAGTTGTTGTAGCCGAAGACAACGACTTGTCTCCAGAGCTCCAGAGACGTGGTTTGGATCTTCTGATGGAAACCTTGGGTTTAAAATACCCTGAAGGAGAAACGAGAACTACAGGAGCCTGAGGGCCGAGTTCTGAAAGACTTTGCTGAATTTAGCTGATGAAGCTGAAGCTGAGCTGAAAGCTAAAAGCAGCTAAACGGAGTGAAACTCTGTCCAAACAAAAAGTGGAAATTTCTGAATAAAATGGTTAAAGGCTAGCTAAAACTACCAAAAGTCGAGCTAAATTTAGCAGAGCGTTAGCTTGTAGCTAACATTAGCATTAGCAGTGTTGGCGTAAGAGCAGAAGCCGATTCCAACGGTGCGCACGTTCGGTCCCGAACGCTCAGACCCGAGTCGAACTGCAACAGGAAATTAGACTTTTTTTTTCAGGTTTGAGTCTCGAGAGTCAGGGACACCTTGAGGTCATTGCTGATGTCTGTCCGTCTTGGCGTTGTGTTAACACGCTGATGATGATCCTGAGCCTCAGATCCTGTGCAGGACCAGAACCAGTTTTAACTTCCGGGTTCTGTTTAATAAATAACTGCTCGGTGGAACGGGTGTTTTTCTTCACTTCAAGGTTAAACGTTAGTAGAACCGGATGAAGACCAGAACCAGTTTTATGTCCCTAACCCTGAACCTGGGAGTGGACTTTTTCTGTGGGACAGAGGTCCAGAACGGGTCGTGGCTCAGGGTGGACGCTGCGAGACCTCCAGCCCCTCATGAGCACCGTCACAGGGTCTGGATGGTTCTGGCTGCGGGGCTCGGCGCCTCACATGAGAGGCTGTAGATAACAGTCAGCTGACTGGAACAGACCGGGCCCAGATCAGAACCCGGAATGGAACGAGTCGTAAATGACGAGCTCAGATCAGAGGATCAGGAGCTGACACCTCAGATGATTCTGTTTACGACCCGGGTCACGGTCATGAGACCGTCTGTTGACCCAGATCCTGTCAGAGGGACGGGACACGAACGGATCAGAACCGATTTAAAAACAAAACCCTGTTTTCAATAATCAGCTCTAAGACCGGACTTCAGACTCCTTTTCATGGCCTCTCAGAACTCGGTCCGGTTCTCCGGGTCGGTTCTGTGTCTTCTGTAGCACCTGTCCCCGCACGGACTTTGACTGTTTTATCAGCGCTGCCTGTGGAACAGAACCAGAACCTCGAGTCTGGACTCGTCTCAAAGATAAATAACCGCAGTTTGTTTGTTTGTTTGTTTGTTTGAACAACAAAAACAACTTCCTGTTGTTTACTCCTGCAGCCGAGGCACAGCTGCTTCATCTGAAACGCTCAAACTTGATTTTTACCGAAGTTTAAAGTCCAGATTTTAAAACGTTGTCCTTTAAATTCCTGTTTGCTCTCAGTGTTGCTGTGACTCTCAGCTACTACCACCCCGAGCTGTCGGCTGCGCACGAGCTGAACTGAGCACGCTTCTCTGACGCCTAAGCTTGATTAGCTGCGGCGGCCATCTTTAATGGGACAGTGTAGTCTTCAGAACGTCTCGTGTCCGAAAACACGTGCACGGCCAAGAATACAGTTATTCAAACTGTGCACGTGGAGAAGTGCGGCTCGCTGAGACAGGAAGTTTAGTTCCCACCTGTGGAGGCGCCTTCAGGCAGGTGTTCCTCCAGGTGACCTTCAGAGAGACAGAGTCCAGGACAGGTGTGAACGAGAGGGAGACGGGTGGAACAGTGAGACCACAAGGAGCACAGGTCAAAGGACGTTTACAAGACAGTGGTGAGACCAGTTATGTTGTCTGGAGACAGAGACATGGACAAAAAGACAGGAGACAGAACTGGAAGTAGAAGAAATGAAGATGTTGGGGTTCTCCTTAGGAGAGACAAGGATGAGATGGTTTGGACATGTCCAGAGGAGGGACAGTGGTTTGGACATGTCCAGAGGAGGGACAGTGGTTTGGACATGTCCAGAGGAGGGACAGTGGTTTGGACATGTCCAGAGGAGGGACAGTGGTCCCTCGTTTATTAAAAGGTTTAGTGGCCACCCCCCCACCTGGAGCCCTGGACCAGATCTTCATCCTCACAGAGCTGCTGAGAGGCGTTGACCGTCCGGTCCTGGTGGTGCGACCGGTCCACGTAGAACTGAACCGAGGTTTGTGTCCATGTCCTCGACACACCTGGGTCCTGGGTGTTCTGGTCCCAGAACCGTCGGGTCGAGTTAGTTTTTGGTTCTGGACATTTAGATTTTCACGTCTTCATTTGGTTTCTGATCAATAACTGATGTTTGTTGAACCTTGAAGCTGTTTGACGATAAACGATGAACTCCATCCTCAGACCGAGAGTCGTGTTAGTTTTGTTTTTAAAGTTTTTATTTTCTCGGCTGTTTCAAATCAAACGAGTTTTCAGCCGTTTTCATTCGGCTGATAAAAGTTTGACTCCTCTTCCTCACCAGGCGTCCTTCCTCACAAAGAAGCTCAACATCACAGGGAAACGGGTCAACCTGGCCATCTGGGTGAGTCCGGCTCCGCTCCGCTGCACCTGTGCGCCGCCTTCAGGTACAGCCCGTGACCTTTGACCTTTGGTGTGTGCAGGACACGGCGGGTCAGGAGCGTTTCCACGCGTTAGGTCCAATCTACTACAGAGACTCCAACGGAGCCGTCCTCGTGTACGACGTCACAGACGAAGACTCGTTTCAGAAGGTAACGGCTGCCGGGCCTGAAACAGGACTCGGACTTCCTGCTGAGCTGAAGCTGCTTCCATCGTGTCGGATACAAGCTGCAGTGAAACGACGTTAATTTACGATTTAACTTGTGCGTCTCAGAAAAACGACGTCCCGTGTGATCAAAGGGTTTGTCTTCTGGGGATTTCAGAGAAACGTCACGTCGCTAACGAGCTAACGAGCTAACGGACACGTTCTGCTCCTCGAGGAGTTGCTCATTAAAATTTCAGCCTCAGCTGTGCGTAGACTTGAAACAGGAACCTGCTAAACAGTTATTAATGAAAAGTTAGCTTCTCGTGTAAAGCTAAAGAAAGCTGCTGCAGAGGGGCCAAACGTGGCCCGAGAGCCGCAGCTTGCACACCCTGACCTTCAGAAACGGCCAAAGTGACACAAAGTAGGTCCAACCTGGCGGCCATGTTTGTGACCCAGAGTCCGTCCGGCCTGACGTCGGTCGCAGGGTTTGTTTACGTTGTAGAAATGCATATCCGTGTTTCCGTCCAACTACCGGAGAACTACCGGAGTAAACTGTCAGGCTGCAGAGTTCAGGACGGACGTTTAAAAGTTGTCAGCGAGGAGTTTGAACGCACGATGAAGCGCGACAGCCAGGAAACGACCACCGACTGGAAAAACAAAACGGACTTTCTCAGTGAAACGATGACGTCGTCTAATCGTTTTCTGTTCCAGTGAAAATAAACTCATTACAAACGAATAATCAAGTGATAATATTAAACTAATAAACTGATATTAGTTTAGTTTAATCTCATTCTTTTTAAACATCCAGAGGCTGTTGGGTCGGTCTGATTTGAAGGTTCTGTTAAAGTTCTGTTTGATTCTTGTTTCTTCAAAAAACGATTCGGTCTAAAAAAACGTCACAATCTGTTTTACTTTTTAATAAATTAACATAATTCACAGAGAAAAACACAAAGTAATTATCATTTTACTGATGTTTTAGTTGAGTTGAGGGGGCGGGGCTAAATTTTGAAGTGTTTTTAAGCATAGGGCGTGGCTAACTTCAAAGTTTTACAAGGGGCGTGGCTAAAGTTGCAGTTTGAGTTGTTGGGTGAGGAGGAGGGGTTAAATCCTTTGAGTTGTTGATGGACAAAGGGGCGTGGCTAACTTAGAAGTTTTAGTCATGTTAGATTAGAGGGCGGGGCTTAATCTTCTGAATCATTCTTTGATGTCAGAGCTCCTTTTTTAAACCGACTGTAGTTTTTAAATTTTATTCTCAGTGTAATAATTATCGGGTACGTTAAACAACAAACGGACGAATTTAATAATTTAATAAGTTCAGAAAGAACGAGGAGGAAGTTTGTTCCTTTTGCTAAAATCAAGTCGTAACTTATGGAACTGCAGCAACGACTCACCGTTTATTAAAAAAGAAAAGGTTTAATGTTTAATGTGCGTTTTTCTCAGAGCGGCGTGTTTTTGTTGTTGCAGGTGAAGAACTGGGTCAAAGAGTTGAGGAAAATGTTGGGAAACGACATCTGTCTATGTATAGTTGGTAAGTTTCTGATCGAACTGTAATGTGATGAGTCCATGTTTGGGTTGGTTTCTCCGCAGCTCGGACTCAGAACGTCCGGTTCTGGTGCAGTTTAAACCAACAGGAAGTCGTTAACCTCGTAAATCAGAACCTGTTGGTTCCTTTGATTTTTTTGAAGCGGACTTGTGTTTTGAACTTCCTGTCTGGTTAAAGATTTCCCTCGGCAGCTGACTCTTAAACTTTTTATCACTATCTCTAAATGTTTATCACTTTAGTGGAAACTTTGAGTTTTGATCCAAACACGAGGTCATCGGACCAGATGGAGGTTCTGACAAACACAAGAAAGCACTTTTCTGTGGCTCGTTTGAAGAACTGTTTATTTTAAGGAAGAGGGGGCGGAGCCATTCATCTCATTAAACTGAACTTATTTCTTACCAGTGCGGTTCAGAACTGGTCTCAGGTTCAGAACTGGTCTCAGGTTCAGAACTGGTCTCAGGTTCAGAACCGGCTCTCATGTCCTTTAGTTTACTCTCAGCAGCTTCAGGTCGGACCAGAACCAAACCCGTACGGTCTGAAAAAAACAACGTTCTCTGACGGGAGCGTCTCCGTTTGTGTCTCTGCAGGAAATAAAATAGATTTGGACAAAGACCGACATGTTTCAGTGGAGGACGCCGAGAGGTGAGTGGACGCCGCAGACACGCCCCCTTTCACGCTGCCGGTTGCATCTGACCTCTGACCCCTCAGCTCTGACCACCTGACCTCTAATATCTGACCCCTTGACCTTTGACCCCTGTTTGTGTGCAGCTACGCCGAGTCGGTGGGAGCCAAACACTACCACACATCAGCCAAGTTGAACAAAGGCATCGAGGAGCTCTTCCTGGATCTGTGTAAACGTAAGAACCGACCCGGACTCAGCTAACACAACCAGCTGTGACACATCCAACAGAACCAGGACAAACAGAACCAGGACAAACAGAACCAGGACAAA